GGACAGATCATCTAGACAAAATATCAACAAAGAAACATTGGATTTAAACTGCACTGTAGACCAAATGGAGCAAACAGATATTTACAGAACATTCCATCCAACAGGTACACAATTCCCAGTCTTCTCAACTGCACATGGAACATTCTCCAGGAGATCATACCTTAGGCCACAAAGCAAGTCTTAACTTTTTTAAATGAAGTATTTTTTTCTGCCAGTAATGGAATAAAACTATCCATCAACAACAGGAGGAACTTCAGAACTGTACAAATACATGAAAATTAAAGAACATGCCCTAAACAAACAATGGGTCAATGAAGAAATTAAAAGAGAAATTAAAAAATTTCTTGAGGCAAATGAAAATGAAAACATAACATACCAAAACTTATGGGATACAGCAAAGATAGTCCTCAAAGAAAAGTTTATAGCAATAAATGCCTACATCAAAAATGAAAGATCTCAAATAAACAACATAATGATGCATCTCATGAAACTAGAAAAGCAAGAACAAACAAAACCCCAAATTATTAGAAGAAACAAATGAATACAGATCAGCACAAATAATCAAAATAGAGACTGAAAAATACAAAAGATCAGTATAATGAGTTAGTTATTTGAAAAGATAAAGTCAATAAACTTTTAGCCAGACTAAGTAATAATAAAGAGGAAAGACAGAAATAAATCAGAGGTGAGAAAGGAGACATTACAACTGATAACACAGAAATACAAAGAATTATAAGAAACTATTGCGAACAATTACATGCCAACAAATTGAAAATCCTAGAAGAAATGGATAAATTCCTGGACACATACAACCTACGAAGGTTGAATCAAGAAAAAAAAGGAAAAATTGAAGAAATTAACAATGAGTAACGAGATTGAAGCAAAAATAAAGTGTCCCATCAAAGAAAAGTTCAGGACCTGATGGCTTCACTGCTGAATTCTACCAAACATTTAAAGAACTAATAACAATTCTTCACAAACTATTCCAAAAATTTAAAAGGAAGAAACTCTTCCAAAATTATTCTAGGAGGCCTTCATTATCCTGATTCCAAACCCAGACAAGGGCACAGTAACAACAAACAACTACAGGCCAATATCCTCAATAAAATACTAGAAATAGAATTCAACAGCACATTAAAAAGATCATTTACCATGATCAGATAGGATTTATCCCAATGATGCAAGGATGATTTAACATATGCAAATTAGGAACATGATACAGCACCTTAACAGAATGAAGGACAAAAATTACATGATCATTTAAATAGACACAGTAAAAGCATTTGATAAAATTCAACATCCCTTCAAGATAAAAACTCTCAACAAACTTAGTATAGAAGGAACACACCTCAACATAGCAAAGGCCTTATATGATAAACCTGCAAACAAGTTGATACTGAGTAGGGAAAAGTTGAAAGCTTTTCCTTTAAGAACTGGAATAAGACAAGGATATCCACTCTCACCGCTTCTATTCAACACAGTACTGGAAGTCCTAGCCAGAGCAATTAGGTAAGACAGAAAAAAATGGCATCCAAATTGGAAAGAAGGAAGGCAAATTGTCCCTGTTTGGCTGGACTTGGTGGCTCATGCTTGTAAAACCAGCACTTTGGGAGGCCAAGGCGGGCAGATCACTTGAGGTCAGTAGTTTGAGACCAGCCTGGCCAACATGGTGAAACCCCATTTCTACTAAAAATACAAACTTAGCTAGGTGTGGTGGCACGCCTATAGTCCCAGAAACTCAGGAGGCTGAGGCAGGAGAATCACTTGAACCCAGGAGGCAGCGGTTGCAGTGAGCCTAGATCATGCCATTGCATTCCAGCCTGGGCAAAAGAACAAGACTCTGTCTCAAAAAAAAAGAAGAAGAAATGTAAGACCTGAAACTGTGAAACTATTAGAAGAAAACATAGTATAAACATTTCATGACATCAATTTGGGCACGAACTTGTTAGACAAGACCTCAAAATCATGAGTAACAAAAGCAAAAATAAAGAAATCTGATTACATCAAACTGGAAAGCTACTGCACAGCAAAGGAAACAATCAACAGAGTTGAGACAACCTACAGAATGGGAGAAAATTTTTACAGATTATACATCTGACAAGGGATCAATATCTGGAATATACAAGGAACTCAAACAACTCAATAGCAAAAATTCAAATAATCCTATTAAAAATTAGCAAAAGACCTGAATAGACATTTCTCCAAAGAAGACACACAAATGGCCGACAGGTATATGAAAAATGTTCAACATCACTAATCATCAGGAAAATTAAAATCAAAACCACAATGAGATATCACTTAACCCTAGTAGAATGGCTATTATAAAAAAAACTACAAAATAACAAATGCTAGCAAGAATGTGGAGAAAGAGAAACTCCTATACACTGTTGGTGGGAATATAAATTAGTTAAGCCATTAGAGATAATAGTATAAAGATGCCTCAAAAATTCAAAATAGATCTGTCATATGTTCTAGCAATCCCATTACTGGATATATACCAAAAAGAAATGAAATCAGTATGTTGAAGAAACATCTGCATCTCCATGTTTATGACAGCATTATTCACAATAGTCAAGATATAAAATCAACTTAAATGTCCATCAGTGGATGAATGGATAAAGAAAGTGTGCCATATGCACAATGGAATACTATTCATCCATTTAAAAAAGATGAAATCCTGTCATCTGCAACAACGTGGATGAAGCTGGAGGACACTATGTTAAGTGAAATAAGCCAGGCAAAGAAAGACAAATATTGCATAATCTCACTCCTATGTACAGTCTTTAAAAATTGGTCTCATAGTAGTTGAGATTTGTGATTCTAGGGAGATTAGGGGGAAGTGGGAGATGGAGACAGGTTAGTCAATGGATACAATGTTACAGGTAGATAGAAGGAATAAGTTCTGGTACTCTATTGCATAGTAGGATGACAATAGACAACAATAATATACTGTATGTTTCAAATAGAAGAGAGGATTTTGAATGTTCTCACAACAAAGAAATGACAAACATTTAAGGTGATGGATATGATAATTACCCTGATTCGAATAATTACACAATGTATACATGTATTGAAACATCACATTGTACCCATAAATATATACAATTAGTTATAAAAAGCAATAAATTAAAAGTAATACAGTCAATAAAAAGTAATACAGTTAAAAAAATAAAATTGCCCGTTAGGATAAATAAAAAGACCCCCAAGCAAAATTATCATTGTGGTATTTTAGAGCACAAAGAGAAGATACTTAAAGTTTCTTCTGGGAGAAACAGGTCACATACAAAAAAATGGGAATTAGATTGACAATATAATGGAGCAATATTGTAAAAGATCTAAGGGAAAAATTATTTTGAACCTAGAATTTTTGGTCAAACTATGAATCAACTTTGGGGGAAGAAAAAAGACATTTTCAGATATAGAGGGCCTTAATAGCCACTGAATGTGTGCTGTTGTAAAACCAGTGACTACATAAAAGAGGAATTTGGAAGATTCAGCAACCCCAGAGAATAATGAAGTTTGAGAAGGATGTTTTCTCCTTAATTCTTTTCTGTATTTTCCAATAATTTGATAATAAACATGCATAATTTTAGAAATAAAAAAATAATTAATTTTGAAAACATGCAAGTTCCTGTTCTCACATAGCTTATAATAGAGTGGAGTGACAGACTGTAGTCAAATAATCATAATAATACATACAAAATTACAAGCTGAGCATTAGTCTGAAGGAAAATTATATAATTCTATGTAAACCTATAATAAAAGAATGTGACCTAGACTGGGGAATCAGAGAAGGCTTCCCTAAGGAAGTACCCCTTGAACTTAGCTTTGAAACTGGGGAAATGAGGCAATGTGAGATGAAGCTGTAGCAGTATTAGGAATCAAATCTATTGGGGCCTTCTAGTCCTTAGTAGAGAGTCTGGACTTTATTCTATGTGGAATGACAGCCACCAATGGGTTTTAGGCTGGTGAATACTACAATCAGATCTGAAATGCGAAAATATTACACCAGTTTCTTTGTGGGTAAGAGTCTTGGAGGGGAATATGACTAGCTATGGGAAGACCTATAAAAAATTTTATCAGTAGCTCAGACAAGAGATACTGGTAACTTGGATTAAGATGGCAGTAGTACTAATAGTGAAAAAATAGATATATTTGAAAGTTCTTAGCCAAAATAGGAGTAACTGTGCCCTCGTAGTTACCAGTGTGAGATCTTAAAACATGACTGCTTGGGTTCAAATATTGAGCAAATTAATTAACCTCTCTGGGCATCCATTTCCTCTCCTGCAAGACATGATTGATAATAATTTCTACATTCATAGGATTGTTATGAGGAATGAATGAATTAAAACTTGTAAAATACTTTGGATAGTGCTTGACATAAAGCAAGTGCTCAATAAATATTAGCTATTACTGATTATATTGCCCTGGTCAATGTCAAATTGTATATGGGAGATGAGAATGGGGACAAAGGTAACTCTAACTTGCATATTTGAATGTAGGATGCTGCCATTCACTGTTATAAAAACCTCTGGAAAAGAATGAAGTGATGAAAATTGTAAATTTGGTTTTGAACATGTGAGTTTTATGAGATATCTAGGTGGAGATGTTGAGAAAGTAATTGGCTGTATGAATCTGGAGCTCCAGAAGAGGTTAGGAGAGGAGAGAGAAGAAGGAGCAGTCTGAGAAGTAGGAGAAAAAAACCCAGAGAGATGTTGGCACAGAGGCCAAGGGAAGAGGGTGTTTCAAGAAGGAATGAATGGTCAACAGGTGCAAATAAAGACTGAAAAATATACATTGGATTTAGCAGCATGATGGTGATTGGTGACCTTGGCAAGAGCTGTTGGTTTGATAGTAGCCCAATATTCTTGATAGATTTGTTTACAAGTCAAGGTAGCAATAAAATGTCTAAGATTGATTTGTCCATTGTGCCTTAGAAAGTGTTTTTCATTTCAAATTCTCCACTTCTTAGCCATGGGTGTCTTATTCCTACTTTACAGGTCTGATTGGATGCCACAGGAAATCAGTGTATTGGCATGTGATTGGAATGGGCACCACTCCTGAAGTACACTCAATATTTCTTGAAGGTCACACATTTCTTGTGAGGAACCATCGCCAGGCCTCCTTGGAAATCTCACCAATAACTTTCCTTACTGCTCAAACAGTCTTGATGGACCTTGGGCAGTTTCTACTATTTTGTCATATCTCTTCCCACCAACATGGTAATATCTTGGAACTTTAAAATGAGTGTTATAAATATCCAGTTCTACTTTTAATAGAATTTACTGGACAATGTACAGGAATATAGGGTGTTGCTGAAGGGGACATTACAGAGTTACTGTGTTAGACCTTAACCAAGATCCCCTAATTTCTAGCTGCCAGTGTAAAGTTTTTACCTTGACTGTAAAAGAGCTTGAGTATTAGTAGGGCTCATGGATTTTTAGTTAAATGTCTGTGATAGAGGGAGAAAAGATGGCTTAGGGATGATTGAGGTGGGAAGATGAGGACAACAGTATGCCCGTGGTTTTTCAGCCTTATCCCATTAACTGGGCTCCAATATCATGAAGAAAGGAATACAGGTTGTAGCTGAAGAGATGTTTTTTGGGAAATCTAGGGAAATGGAAAAAAAGGCATTTCTCAGGTTGCAACTGTAAGGGCTCCAGGATATCAGCAGCAATGCCCAGAGCATTAAATAGCAAATATGACAGGATATTGTAGTGCTTGACTTGAGACACCAGACCACTGGAGGCACTCTGTAGATACCTGGCTATAGATGAGAGACATCTGTGAATCTGAGGGCAGGTCAGAAGCTAGTGAATTTTAGGACAAGTAGCATGGGATTGAAAGCTGGTCAGCATATGTGAAGCACCACATGAGGTTTTCAAGGACTATTTGATGGAAACTTTGCAAAGGGTCAAAGGTTCTGTGTAAGCAAATTGGGATGATGGTAACTACAGTTTCAAATTACTGTTAATGTGACTTTATTTGTAACTACCGGTTGTGCAAATTCATATTGTATCATCATTTGACCCCCATTTTCCTACTTGTGTATTTATTCTACCAGCTCTTAATCTCAGATCAACCTAATAACCCTCTTTCTCTACCCCTTTTGCTATCATTGAAGGCTCTTACTCAGTTTGTGCTGCAATAACAGAATACCACACACTGGGTAATTTATAATGGGCAGAGATTTATTGGCTCACAGTTCTGGGGGCTGGGAGGTCCAATATCAAGCTGCATCTTAACATGGTGGGAGGCATCACATGACAAAAGGACAAAGCAAAAGAGCCCTCATGACCTAAACACCTTTTAAATGTTCACCTCTCAATACCATCATGATGATAATTAAATTTCAATATGAGTTTTGGAGGGGACACACATTCCGATCATAGCAAGAGCTGCTCGAGAAAAATGTCTAATCTTTTATATTTAGTAGCTACTTCCTCGGGTTCCTTGTTGTCTTAGAAAAGAGATTTGATCTTGCCATGTATCCTCCATTTTCCTCCTTCTCTTCTGTTAGTGACCTTGTTTATAGTCCTCTGTAGTGATTAACAATAGAAATCTCTATTCCTCATCTGTTACATATTTATGGAATTTTGACAGGACATTAGTGGACAAAGAGTGTCATATGGAATGGGTAATGGGAAGTTGATACACAAACAAAATCCTTGCAGGCACAGAGGAATAGGTCATTATCAATCAATTATTGTCCAGTTGGAGCCTGACTCAGTTGAAGTGTTTAGTTTTTGTTTTGTTTTTTTCTTCCTTTTCACAGATTCTATCCACGATTTTAATCTTTATTTTTCAGAAAAAAAATGCTTTATCTTATTGAACCTCAGACAAAACCCTTTGTTTTTAGATACAAACTGAATTATATTTGAGGCCACATGAACCCCAGACTAGTTGTTTGCTGCTCCTAAAACCTGCCCTGTTCCTCATAATCAATTAAACAGGTCTCCCTTCTTAGAAGTATTTGATCTTGAAAATTGCCCTGTGGTATAAATAGGGCAAGAATTATTATTATCCATTTTACAAAGCATAAAGATGAGACTGAAAATGTTGAATAGACTTGCCATAGGGTTTACAACTAGTCACAGGCAGACATGGTCTTAAAATACATATCTCCTTGATTTTAAGTTGTATCTTTTCATGTTTTTATGAACTTGGAACATGTCTTAAAGTTTACATTTTTCCCAATAAGCTGTTATTAAATCAATGATTTGTATTATAATCCAATAGGGTAAATATAGAAATCATTAGGTGACTGTGGGGATGGGGAGGTAGACTGGTCTAGGCTTTGAAATGCTGAAAATATGCAGTTCTTCAAGTCTCTTTGTTTATAATTTGGGTGGGGGGAACGATAGGCTCAAAGCCAGTTCCAGAAGGGAAATAGTAATACATATTATAAGAGCAAACGAATTACTTTTGAAAAGGAAGTGAAACATATATAGAGAAGAGTCAAGCAGAAGGCAAATGGTAAGTGCAAAGACCAGAGGAAGAAACAAGTACCAGATAATCCATTAAGAAATATATATATGAAGTGGCAAAAAGGGATAGTGATGTGGAGAGGCACCCCACACTCTCTCTCCTGCTCCTGCTTTCACCATGTGATGTGCCTTCTCCCCCTTCACCCACCCCCATGACTGTAAGCTTCCTGAGACCTCCCCAAAGCCAAACAAATGTCAGCACCATGCTTCCCATATAGCATGCAGAACCATGAGCCAATTCAATCTCTTTTCTTTATAAATTGCCCAGACTCAGGTATTTCTTTATAGCAATGCAAGAACAGCCTAATACAGCAAGAAAGTCTGACATTGTTTGGTTTGTCTGACTCCAGATGGCATGGAAGCTTATGTCAAAGTAGACAGCTGCCCAGAGGAACCCCAACTACGAAGGAAAAATAATGAAGAAGAGGAAGACTATGATAATGATTTTGCTGATTCTGAAATGGACGTGGTCACATTTGATGATGACAACTCTCCTTCCTTTATCCAAATTCGTTCAGTTGCCAAGAAGCATCCTAAAACTTGGGTACATTACATTGCTGCTGAAGAGGAGGACTGGGACTATGCTCCCTCAGTCCTTACCCCCAATGACAGGTAAACACTTTATGACTATTGGTACTCTCTCTTCCCCATACTCAAAAAGTTCTCACCAGTTATTCAAACCAACAAATCCTTAAGCCATGTTTAAGGTTAGGTACAGGTGTGGAATCAAATGACAAGGTATTAACATTTGGAAACTGACATAGCTGAGCATCAGAGAAGCTTCTATTTTTCTCACTCCTTGCCTTGATTGGATCATATAAGCTGTTTTGGAGTTGGATTTGAGCTGAGCCTACCTAAAATTTTTCTTCCCGACCTCTCATCTTTTTTTCTCTTATTCAGAAGTTATAAAAGTCAATATTTGAACAATGGCCCTCAGCGGATTGGTAAGAAGTACAAAAAAGTTCGATTTATGGCATACACAGATGAAACCTTTAAGACTCGTGAACCTATTCAGTATGAATCAGGAATCTTGGGACCTTTACTTTATGGGGAAGTTGGAGACACACTGTTGGTAAGTTGAGGAGAAGATTTAAGGTCAGGAAAGAAGAAAAAGTCTGGAGAGTTTTGAGTTTCTAAAATACTTTATAATTCAGCCTTGTCTCCAGTGGACATGATCTTTTAAAAACTATAAATGTTACACAAATAATTGCTGATTGTATTTTTTTAAATATGAGTATATAGAAAAAAATTTAATGTCACTCATTAAACTCAACACTCCTTTGAAATACTGCATAGACTTTGATACATATCCTTCCAGATCTTTCTCCATTAATTATATAGAATCGGAGTCAGCAGACTGTGGCCTATAAGACAAATTTGGCTTGTGGCCTGCTTTTGAATAGTCCATGAGCTTAGATGAGATTTCACATTTTTAAAATATTGCAAAGAAAAGAATGGAGCGGGGGAGGAAAGGGAGGAAGAAGGCAGAGGAGGAAGAGAATATGTGACAGAGACTAGATAGCGCTCATAAATTTTAGAGTATTTACTATCCAGCCTTTTCCAAAAAATGCTTGCTTGCCCCAATCTAGGATATTAAGAATAAGTATGGTGTAAGTAACAGAATACTCAATGGACAGTGGTTTAAATAAATAAGGGTTTATTTTCTTCACAAGAAATTTGAAGATAGGTCATTGGTTGCATCAATTCAACTGCTCAAGAATGTCATGAAGGACACTGGTTTTTAGATGTGGAGTTTTGTTAGACACTGCCAAACTGATTTTCAGCAATTTTATACCAATTTGTATCCCCTACCATAAGTATATGACTGCCCTTTTCCCCACACCATTGCCAACAATATATATTTTAAATCTTCAGAAAATTTTCCAATTTAATGAGCTAAATATTTATATGTTGTCTTCATTTGCATTTCCCTGGTTAGTAGTCAAATTGTATATTGTTTCATGGTTGTTGGTTATTTATATAACTCCCTCTGAGAATTGCCTGCTAGTAAATTTTGTCCAGTTTTCTATTTGGGTAGCCATCTTTTGCTTATGTATTTGTAAAAGGCCTTTATATATTATGGATATTGACACATTGTTATTTATCTTTCAAATGTTTTCATCACATTGTCACTTGTACTTTAATTCCTTTATGGTATTTTTTGTCCTTCAAAAATTTTTGATCTTTATATATAGTCAAAATCTTCTATTCTTTATCAGTCTTTTCATTTATGTTTCTCTGGATCTTTTTCACTTCTGTTTTCTGCCTGAAAATGTCTTTGCCACCCCCAAGAAATTACAAAAATAGTATATATTATATTCTCTTATTTGTATAGCTTTATTTTTATAGTGAGCAATCTAATTGCCCTGGAAGTTACTTTTGGTTGTAGTGCATAATTCAAATAGAAATTTTTCCAAGATGGCAGCTAACTGACCCAACCAATCCTTTTTTCATTAATTTGAAAATGTCTTCTTTATTATATACTAAATTGCTAAAATCTGGCATCTTGAATTCTTAACTAATCTGTTACCACACTGTTTTAATAACTGCAACTTTGTGATATGTTTGATAACTATACGACATCTTCCTTCATTGTACTTCTTCAAAATTTTTATTAGCTATTCTTGTACAGTTTTTCTTCATAAATTTTGTTTACCTATTTTTTCTTTTTTCATTTCTTGAAGATTGTATAATTTTATTTTTTATTCATTAATTTTTAAAATGCATAATGACATAATTTTATATGTTTATAGGGTACTTTTTGTGTATTTTTAGTTACTTTTACTGGCTAGTTCAAAAATAGGTAAACAAGAGCATACAATAAAAAGTAAATTTTCTTCCCTCTCAGACTTCCAACCCCATAGTGTGACAGACAGTCATTGTTGTGGGTTTGTATATTTCCCTCCAGAAATACTGTATACATGTACAAATGTGTGTGTGTGTGTGTGCACACACATGTGTGTATTTCACACAAAAACAGGAGCAGTGTAAATTTGGTCTGTACCTTGATTTTCAAAAAGTAGCAATATATTTTGAATTGGCTGGCTGTGGTGGTGCATGCCTGTAGTCCCAGCTACTTGGGAGGTGAGGGAGGAGAATCGCTTGAATCCAGGAGGTGGAGGTTGCAGTGAGCTGAGATCCCACCACTGCACTCCACCCTGGGTGACAGAGCAAGACTCTGTCTCAAAAAAAAAAAAAAGTAACAGTATATTTTTGATATCACTTCATATCAACATATATAGATCTACCTCATCTTTGATTTATTCAGGTTATGTTCTGGACACCTTGCTGAATCTTACACTTAAACATTAACTCAAAATAGATAAAAGATAAAATGTAAGAGGTAAAACTACAAAATTACAGGAAAATACAGGAATAAATCTTTGTGATCTTGAATTAGACAATGGTTTATTGGATATAACACCAAAACCAAGAAGCAACAAAAGTAAACATAGATAATTTTACTTCATCATACTTAAAAATTTTTGTGCTTCAAAGGACACCCAGAAAATGAAAAGACAATGCATGGAACTGGAAAAAATGTTTGCATATTTTATATCTGATAAGGATCTAGTGTCCAAAATATATATATAAGGACCCTTTCAACTCAAAAATAAATAGGCAAGTCACTGAAAACCACTCAAAAGTTCACCAAATGGTGAATAGATAAATAAAATGTGGTATATCCATATAACTGGAATTTTATTCAGCAATTAAAAGAAAATAACTAATTATATATGATAATACAGATGAAATTCAAAACACTGTAAGTTAAAGAAGTCAGACAAAATGACTTACATATTGCATGATTTAACTTATATAAAATATACAGAAAAGGCCAATTTATACAGCAGAAGTCTCTTTAGTGACTGTCAGGGGCTGGGAGCGGAAGCAGGGATTGCCTGCAACCCAGCATAGAGAATCTTTCTGGGGTGATAGAAATATTCTAATACTGGATTGTGGCAATCATTGCACAACTCCATACATTTACTAAAAACCATTTAATTTGGAGATCCAAGGTGGCTGAATAGGAACAGCTCTGGAGTGCAGTTCCCAGAGAGAACAACGCAGAGGGTGAGTGATCACCGCATTTCCAAATGAGTTATTACTGCCTATAGACCAGGAGATTCCCGGGCTGAAAAGTGCCATGAGTTTCCAGCATGGCTGTGTCAGCTGGTGTAGTGGGTCTCCACACAAACACTCACACAAATCTGGGCGGCCGTTTCAATGGGAGCCTAGAATGTCTGGGAGACAGAGCCACCCATTCAACTGAAAAAAAGGGGGCTGAAACAGGGAGCCAGGTGATCTGGCTCAGTGGATCCCACCCCAACAAAGACCAACAATCTGAAACGCTCTGGATTGAGAGTTTCACAGCAAGTGCAGCTGGACCCCGGATGGTCCAACACGGTGGGGGGAAGGGTATCAGCCATTACCAAGGCAGTCCACCATTACCAAGGCAGTCCACCATTAACGAGGCAATCTGCCTTTACTGAGGCAGTCTGCCATTACTGAGGCAGACTGCCATTACCAAGGCAGTTCTAACTGTACCTCTGTAAACAAAACTGCAAGGAAGTTCACGCAGCAGCTGAGCAGAGCCCATGGCAGCTCAGCAACGCCTCTGCTGGCATACTGTGACTAGGCTACCTCCTTTCTGGGCAGGGCATCTCTGAAAAAAAGCAGCAGCATGTCAGGAACTTATAAATAAAGCCCCACCTTCCCAGGACAGAGCACCTAGGAAAAGAGGCAGTTATGAGTTCTGCTGTAGCAGACTTAAACTTACCTACCCAGCAGCTCTGAATGGACCAATGGAGCTCCCAGCACAGCACTTGAGCTCCTATAAGAGACAGATGTCTCCTCAAGCAGCTCGCCAAACCCCATATGTCCAAAGAGACACCTCATAAAGGAGAGCTCAGGCTGACAGCTGGAGGGTATCCTTCTGTGACAAAGATAACAGAAGAAACTGGCGGCAACCCTTACTGTTCTGCAGCTGCCACAGGTGATCCCCAGGCAAGCAGGGTCTGGAGTGGACTTCCAGCAGTCCTACAGCAGAGGAGCCTAACTGTTAGAAGGAAAACTAAAAAACAGAAAAAAATAACCTCAACATCAACAAAAAGGACATCCACTCAGAGACCCCATCTGAAAGTCACCAACTACAAAGACCACAGGTAGATAAATCCACGAAGATGTGAAGAAATCAGTGCAAAAAGGATGAAAACACCCAAAACCAGAACGCCTCTCCTCCCCAAGGGATCACAACTCCTCACCAGCAAGGGAACAAAGCTGGATGGAGAATGAGTCTGACGAATTGACAGAAACGGGCTTCAGAAGATGGGTAATAACAAATTTCTCTGAGCTAAAAGAATATGTTCTAACCCAATGCAAAGGAACTAAGAAGCTTGAAAAAAGGTTAGATGAAATGCTAACTAGACTAAACAGCTTAGAGAAGAATATAAGATTTGATGGAGCTGAAAAACAAAGCATGAAAACTTCACAAAGCATACACAGGTTTCAATAGTTGAATTGACTAAGCAGAAGAGAGGATATCAGAGATTGAAGATAAACTCAATGAAATAAAATGAGACAGCAAGATTAGAGAAAAAAGAGTGAAAAGAAATGAACAAAGCCTCCAAGAAATGTGGGATTGTGTGAAATGACTTAATCTACGTTTGATAGGTATACCTGAATGTGAGAGAGAGAATGACTCCAACCTGGAAAACACTCTTCAGGATATTATCCAGGAGAACTTCCCCAACCTAATAAGGCAGGCCAACATTCAAGTCCAGGAAATGCAGAGAACACCACAAAGATATTCCTCCAGAAGAGCAACGCCAAGGCACATAATCATCAGATTCACCAGGGTTGAAATGAAGGAGAAAATACTAAGGGCAACCAGAGAGAAAGGTCGGGTTACCCACAAAGGGAAGCCCATCAGACTGACAGCAGATCTCTCAGCAGAAACCCTACAAGCCAGAAGAGAGTGGAGGACAATATTGAACATCCTTAAAGAAAAGAACTTTCAACCTAGAATTTCATATCCAGCCATACTAAGCTTCCTAAGTGAAGGGGAAATAA